TTATCTTTTTTTTTTTTGAGACAGAGTTTTGCTCTTGTTGCCCAGGCTGGAGTGCAATGGTGCAATCTCGTCTCACTGCAACCTCCGCCTCCTGGGTTCAAGCGATTCTCATGCTTCAGCCTCCCGAGTAGCTGGGATTACAGGCATGCGCCACCACACCCAGCTAATTTTTGTATTATTAGTAGAGATGAGCTTTTTCCATGTTGGTCAGGCTGGTCTCAAAGTCCTGACCTCAGGTGATCTGCCCACCTCAGCCTCCTACAGTGCTGGGATTATAGGCATGAGCCACTGTGCCCAACCATGAATAGCGTGTGTGTGTGTGTGTGTGTGTGTGTGTGTGTGTGTTTTGAGTATTGCTCTTGTCACCCTGGTTGGAGTGCAGTGGCATGATCTTGACTCTCTGCAACCTTGGCCTCCCGGATTCAAGTGATTCTCCTGTTTCAGAGCCTCCCGAGTAGCTGGGATTACAGGCGTGCACCACCACACCCAGCTAATTTTTGCATTTTTAGTAGAGATGGGGGTCCACCGTGTTGGTCAGGCTGGTTTCGAACTCCTGACCTCAAGTGATCCGCCCGCCTCAGCCTCCCAAAGTGCTAGGATTACAGGCATGAGCCATTGCAACCAATCACAAACAGTTTTTAAAACAATGGCTCAAATATTTTATTAAGAACTTATTTAAAGAGGCCTATGTGTTATAGGAGATAACTGACTTGAGGTTATGTGGCTATGAGAAGGCAGAGATCATTAAGTATAAGTACAGTTTGTATCATGTCACGGCATGTGTTACCCACCCAGTAATCATGGCAAAAAAAGAAGTAGGCAGAGAAAAGATGACTTTATAATTCCAAATCAAATTATCACATCAACAGTCTTAAAAGGGAGAAGAAAACAGTAATGGCTTTGCTAACAAAAAAAAGCTGGATGATGCTCATGCACATGGATGGCTGTCTTAACAATAACTCACATCACATTTCTATTGTAGATAAATAAAAAGGGAAGAGTTGTCATCTTGTATTTTTAGGACTATTTAAAAGAAAAGACACTACCAGAAAAAAAACCTGTTTCTCTTCAAATTCTTCCCCTCACAATGGCCATCTCCACCCTAAAATTAGAAACCAAGCTAGTAAGAATCAGGGACTAGAATGTAAATATATACTACCAAAACTCTGACTTTATTAATGCTAAATTACATATAAATTACTAAATTATAAACATGCTAGCCAAGCCAAAAGATTTGCTTCAATGCCTTGCTCAACTTCCATCCTTTTTTTTGCGGGGGTGGTGCGGCAGGATGGAGTCTCTCTCTGTTGCCCAGGCTGGAGTGCAGTGGCGTGATCTCAGCTCACTACAATCTCCGCCTCCCAGGTTCAAACAATTCTTCGGCCTCAGCCTTTGAGTAGCTGGGATTACTGGTGCGCGCCACCATGCCCGGCTAATTTTTTGCATTTTTAGTAGAGATGGGGTTTCACCATGCTGGCCAGACTGGTCTTGAACTCCTGGCCTCATGATCCACCTGCCTCAGCCACCCAAAGTGCTGGGATTACAGGTGTGAGCCACTGTGCCCGACCAATTTCCATCCTTTTAAACAATCTTCATGATATATTTAAATACTGCCCCAGAAAGTTCAGTGTGAAGCCAAACCCATGTTGCATGCTTATCAAGTATATTTGTTTGCTCAGAAATGTTTGGTGTTCCCAGGCATCGGGATCTTACTTTATTACATATTTAGAAACTTTTCCTTCTGTAATTATAAAGCTCTAAACCAATGCTAAGAATGACCACTAATCAAGTGTGATTGAAATAATAGGTGATCAAATAAAATTATATGACTAAATGTAAGCTGAAATTTTATTAGGATGTACCAGTCAGATAGTTTTTATAAATTCATGCTCAAATTAAGAAAACATGAATAATTTAAAGATTAATAAATTTAAAAACAAATTTAGGTGAATGTACATATAACTAAAAGGATTTACAATATACCTGTAGAATTCTCTAGTTAGTATTTTTGTGTATGTAACATTAATAAAAAGGATTTTTTTTAAACCATACAGTGATTCTGGGATTCCCTGAATTTTCAGCTGCTGCATTTTCTACTCTACATCTGGTAGATTCTTCTTCCTTTCAGTTTGTGCATTTCCTGTATTCTAAAAAGTAAATAGAAACAGGTCTTTAATTGAGGACATGGTGAGTCTTTGGCTAAGGAAATACAGCCAGAGATAAATACTTGTACTTTGCCCCTACGGGTTGTTTCATAAGGTACAGGGAAACTATTTAGCAATGAATTCCTTATTATTTCATCCAACAAAACAAAAGGTGGCCTTTGTATGGACTCTTTCTCTCTTGCCTAACTCACTCATTCACAGTAATTTAGAGTCTCTCTCTGGTTACAGAACCTAATTAATGCATGCATGCACATTTAAGATGCCTGAAATAGTTTAAAGTAAACCTGGCAAGGCGTGGTGGCTCACACCTGTAATCCCAGCACTTTGGGAGGTTGAGGAAGGCAGATTACCTGAGGTCAGGAGTTCAAGATGAGCCTGGACAACATGGTGAAACCCCGTCTCTACTAAAAATACAAAAATTAGCCAGGCGTGGTGGTGGGCGCCTGTAATCCCAGCTACTCAGAAGGCTGAGACAGGAAAATTGCTTGAACCCAGGAGGCGGAGGTTGCAGTGAGCCAATATCACACCACTGTACTCCACCCTGGGTGGCAGAGGGAGAGTCTGTCTCAATAAATAAATAAACAAATAATAATAAAAAAGAAAGTAAACCTGAGAAGTGCTTGGATCTGATTGTATAATTCAAAAACCAAGTCAATACAGAGCCAAGAATAGAAAAAATAACTAGCAATTCCCTATCTTATGTTTTTAAGAATATGTCATATTCTCTCATGCTCTAAAATAAACTACAGACTCAAAATTGAAGACATCTTCTTAATTCTGACATTTATTAAAACCAGTTGTACTAGCCTTATATGCAATTTCAGTCACTTGTCAGAGCTGCATTTGAATGAGCAGTACAAATAAACTATAACAAACACTGATGACTTCATTTTTTTCTGGAGTTCTATATCATATGAACAAGAAGATGTTTTCCCTTTGTAATTTATTATTTATCCTAAAAATCACAGAAGGGTCTTTTTTCCTGCAGAGTTCCTTTTTTCCTAGACTAGAAAGTAATTTTAGTTCCTGGGGACTCTCATAGGACAACGGGATAAACATGAGGCACATTAATAGTCTGCCTACCTCAGGAGCCCTAACTCACCCAAATCATTGAAAAAATGTGCAAATGGTATGCTGTGCAACATGCTGTGACATGAGTATGTCACCCAAATTTAAAAGTTTAAAGCCATCTTATTACTTTTTATAATGAACTGAAAGATGCCTATTAATGGCTTTCTTTCTTTTTCTTTTTTTTTTTTTTTTTTTTTTTTGAGACAGAGTCTTGCTCTTGTTGTCCAGGCTGGAGTGCAATGGTTTGATCTCGCCTCACCGCAACCTCCGCCTGCCAGGTTCAAGCACCTGCCTCAGCCTGCTGAACAGCTGGGATTACAGGCATGCGCCACCATGCCCAGCTAATTTTTGTATTTTTAGTAGAGACAGGGTTTCACCACATTGACCAGGCTGGTCTTGAACTCCTGACTTCAGGTGATCCACCCTCTTCAGCCTCCCAAAGTGCTGGGATTACAGGTGTGAGCCACTGTGCCTGGCCTAATGGCGTTCTTGTTCTACAACATTTCTTTTCTGCAAAGTGGACTGTGGAGTTCTTAACAAGCTCTAGACCAATACTAAAGAGATAGCCCTAAATGTCACAGTGAGAATACATCTAACAGCATCTGATAACCCTCTTATCCAAATATTATAGAGATCAAGTAGCCTTGTTAAAATGCCTTCTTATGGAGTTTCTGATTTTTTTAAACATTTTTAATTTCTTCAAATTTTCTTAATAAGTATATACTAATTTTATCATGAGTAAAACTGTAATATTATTTTTTTAAAAAATAGAGGTTGGGCCAGGCACAGTGGCTTACGCCTGTAATCCCAGCACTTTGGGAGGCTGAGGTGGGCAGATCATGAGGTCAGGAGATCGAGACCACCCTGGCTAACACAGTGAAACCCCATCTCTACTAAAAATATTAAAAAAAAAAAAAAATTAGCCAGGCGTGGTGGTGGGTGCCTGTAGTCCCAGCTACTCAGGAGGCTGAAGCAGGAGAATGCTGTGAACCCGGGAGGCAGAGGTTGCAGTGAGCCAAGATTGCGCCACTACACTCCAGCCTGGGCGACAGAGTGAGATTCTGTCTCAAAAAAAAAAAAAAAAAAAAAAAACAGAAGTTGATAAATCACATACAGAAATGACCTCACAAGTGCAGAATAGGCGGCCATCAATATGATTTAATTCAGTGGGTGCTTGGCACAATCTCTTTCTCTTAAAAGATTGTCTTTATAGAGCATTCATTTGGATGTTACAGGCTTCAAGATTTTCAAATAAAATTTGAGAATCTCTCTGGTGGGTAGGGACTGGGAATATTTCAACAAGATTACCTGATAGTTAGCTGAGAGCAAATATTTGTTAAAATAGGACAGTAGGCAGACAGCAGAGATAGACAGGGGAATAAACTGGAGAGAAAACAAGAAGGAAGGAAGAGGCTCTAAGACAGAGACACACATGCTTGTGGCCATATAACTATATATTTATACCATTATTCATTTTCACTAGTCTGGCTTACCTGCCTGATATCTGACATTACACACAATATAGATACTATTTTCCCCGGGTGCCATGCATTCTAATTATTCAACATTACACACTAAAAAATAACTTTTAGAAACTTTTATTAATGGGTTATTCTAGGAAAATACAGATCTATTTCTTGAGTTCAAAGATTATAAAATTTTGAATTTTTATATAGCTTTCCAATAGTAATAACTAAATTTATACACTGAGTCAAGTCCTCTAAACAACATGCCTTAGTAAAAGCTATATACAAAAAGAGTTACCTCTTGTTTTTCTTGATTTTGATCCACATTAAGTAAAGTTGGTATCTTAGATGAATCTGTTTTCTTTGACTCCCTCTTCAGCATTTTTATCTGTTTAACTTTTGTAAAAATATACAAAACAATGAAAATTTGTTATTCCTACTTTGAAATTTTACTTTCCAAGAATTTCAAATAGAGATTCTGATATCCACTAAGTCAGTTTCTCAGTTTATTACAAAGGAACAAAATAAGTTATGAGTTGTAATGGTAAAATACGGTAAATTATTTGTTTTATAACTTTACAAATAGTCTACTAAGTATTAAAATAAGACTTTTATTTTATTTTATTATTCTCAGTGTAACTGTTAAGTGGATCAGAAAATTCCTCTTGAACTGTACAAGGATTATATTCTTGCTATTATATTAACTTTTCACAAGGTGTCACTGTTCTTCAAAGAAACATAAGAACATTTATTCAAGACAAAAGTGTGTTCATTCTGAGATAAATCTTAAGTTTATAAATCTTTTTTTTTTTTTTTTTTTTTTTGAGATGGAGTCTCACTCTGTCACCCAGGCTGGAGTGCAGTGGCGTGATCTTGGCTCACTGCAACCTCCGCCTCCCAGTTTCAAGCAATTTTCCTGCCTCAGCCTCCCAAGTAGCGGAGATTTACAGGCATGAGCCACCACGCCTGGATAATAGAGATGGGGTTTTGCCATACTGGCCAGGGTGGTCTCAAATTACTGACCTTAGGTGATCCGCCCGCCTTGGCCTCCCAAAGTGCTGGGATTACAGGTGTGAGCCACCATGCCCAGCCTATAAATCTTATATATTTAATCCTTGGATGCCCAAAATACATATAAAATTTCTGCTACTATATGGGTAAATGATCATGAAGAAACATAGAAAGGCAATTTACTCCAGGTCATATACTAAACCAGATTTCTCAAATACTGCTCTAACATTTCAACAACATTGAGCTAATAAAAAAATTCATGCTTTGCAGCCAGCTGCAATGGCTTATGCCTGTAATTCCAGCACTTTGGGAGGGCAAGGCAGGTGGATCACCTGAGGTCAGGAGTTCGAGACCAGCCTGGCCAAAATGATGAAACCCTGTCTCTACTAAAAATACAAAAAATAGCCAGGCGTGCTGGCGGGCACCTGTAGTCCCAGCTACTCAGGAGGCTAGGCATGAGAATCACTTGAACCCAGGAGGTAGTGGTTGCAATGAGCTGAGATTACAACACTGTACTCCAGCCTGGGTGGCAGAGTGAGACTCTGTTTTAAAAAAATAAATAAATAAGCAAATTCAGCAAAGTCTCAGGATACAAAATCAATGTGCAAAAATCACAAGCATTCTTATATACCAGTAACAGACAAACAGAGAGCCAAATCATGAACGAACTCCCATTCACAATAGCTTCAAAGAGAATAAAATACCTAGGAATCCAACTTACAAGGGATATAAAGGACCTCTTCAAGGAGAACTACAAACCACTGCTCAGTGAAATAAAAGAGGATACAAACAAATGGAAGAACATACCATGCT